GAAAAGACAAATGACCAAACCTTTGACAATTAAAGCATCTCGTATATTTTATCAAAAAAAAAAAAAAGCATCTCTTATTAGCATTAAGGTTAGTACCAACTTTGAAAATTAGAAGTAACATCAGGGCAAGTTGGTTTATCGGGAATAAAAGCACTCTCTTGTGGTTTACCAAATGACTTGCCTAAATTTGAATCCACAAAATCCTTTCACTTTGAATTATCGACACCCTAGAAAGCCTTAGAGAAACCCTTTTTTCATTCTCAATCATGGGAATTCAAATCATGTGGCTAAGCTGTAGAACTTTCCGATGTAATCCTCAACAGATATGCTTCCTTGAACTAACTGAGTAAACTAGAGATGAGCTCATTGCTTATAATTAGCAGACACAAAATAACGAGTCCAAACAGTCTTCATGTCATCCCATGTTATATCATAATGAGTCTATTGGTATTTCACCCACCAAAGTCACGTTGTACCTTTCAAGTTAGATTCAACAAAAGATACATTCCTTTCATCGATTAGATGATACCATTTGAAGAAGCTATTGAGGCTATGTAACCAATTAAGGAATACCTAGGAATTATTATCCCTATGAAAATCACTAACATCTACTTTAACTCCTCTTTCAACATCAATCAATATGTGATCTTCTCAAACCGAGGCTTGAACAACAACCTGTTGATGATGGACAGCTAAAGAAGATGAATCTGCATTTTTCTTAACTCCTTTGTCCTTCTTAGTTTTTATCTACAAGATGAACTTCCATGAGTTTTTTTATGATGTTATAGATGCCTCAAATGAATCCATCCTATCATTCATTGTTTTTTGTGACTCGTATAAAGCCTACACTTTGGCATTTAACTCGGTGTTGGAGACCATCTTCATGCAATAAGTAACTTGAAAAAATAGTAGAAAATTTTGGGGCCAAATTGTAATTTTAGAAACTTTTGGGTTAGAAATTGTAATTTCAAAAATTTCAAAGGTTAAATCTATAATTTCAAAAACTCTGGGGGGGTCAGATATGCAATTTTGAAAATGTTTGGGGGTGCTTGTGTAATGTCAGAGGTGATGGGGTGGATCTAAAATTTCAAGAAAATTTGGTCTAAATATTTATATAGCCAGGTTTATCGTCTTTCTTTTTTTTTTTTTTTTTTTTTTTTTTAGGTTAGGTTGGTGTTAGGCTTGGGATTTGGGCTTGGTGAGGCTCTATATTTAGATATGGGCAAGGATTTTCAAGAAATTGGGTAAGTTCAACTTATAGGAAGAAATAAAACTTATAACCCAATCTCTAAATTGATCAAAAACCTCTAACTAGCAAATAGTCTTCTCCACGAAGACAACGAAGCCCTAGTTTTCAAACCTGTAGCAGCTACGATGACAACTATACAAGTCGATGTTTATAATGAACAATGATTGCAAGGAAAGCAAGGATAGTGACAGAGTGATGATAAATCTTGACAGAAGGAACTTATCAGTGACACAAATTGCTTCTTCAAGCAACTCCGGCAATGTAGCAAGAAGAATTTCTGATTGTGATGACGGATAGCAATAGTGGCTATCAACAGCAGAGAATAAAAAGAAATAACATAGATCGATGTTTTGTTCTGATACCAATTGATGCAAAGAAATAAGAGAAAGAAAAGGGATAATCAATCTTCACAAGGATCAAGTCAAGAAACACAAATCTCCGTAGAGAATTCTTAAACGAATATTCAACTCAAATTAAAATAATGTAGAATACATCCTTATTTATAAACCAAGTGTCCTACCATAAATGAACTACTCTAATACTAAAACTCTATCAACTTATCCCTAATCTTAATCTAATAAATACTAACTAAAATAAGATAAAAATAAAAAATCCTAATAAATCTACGAAGTACATTTTCTTTTGAATCAAAAACTCTTAGCCTTTCGCCTAGGCTTCCACATTCGATCAGGCTAGTCCAACCATCCAATGGCTATGCCATCAGGTTGTTTCTAGACGTGGGAATAAAGATAGTCTTTCAATTGGCACTTTAAAAGCAAGAAATATTTGCTTTAGTGGTTAAGTGACTTTGGCAATTTCATTTGAAACAAAATGCTCTGTGGCATTTGGTTATCAAGAGCAAATACGGATTACTGACAAATGGATAGGACATTTAATAAAGCTGAAAAGGTAAATTTTCGAAACCCATGAAAATTCATACCTCTGGGAGTGACAAGGTTTTTCCAAAAGATTAGATTGGTAGTGTGTAATGGGAAGAGAGTTCATTTTTTGGAGGATGTATGGGGTGGGGGAGTCATCTTTGTCCTGTTTGTTTCTACATCTATATCTTTTGTCTTCATATCATGGTGCGACCATTGCTTCTATAATTGGGTCTTATAATCAAAGGTATTCTTGAGATTTTAGTATTCATTGATATCATCTTAATGATATGGATACAAGTGATGTGTTATCTCTTTTGAATATTCTTAATGATTCTTTGTTGTATCAAGAGTCATGTGATAGAAGAAGATGGGCCCTTGAATCTTCGAGTGTTTTTCTGCAGATTAAAGTTCAAGTTTTTATATGGACTTTGCACATAGTAAAATTAATATTGTGGATATGCTTCAAAAAAGGAGACCACATTCTTGTCTTTGTCCGCAATAGTGTGCCTTGTTTAAAGGGATTATGAAAATAGTGATCATTTATTTCTACATTGCCCTATTGCATTGTCGTTGTGGTACAAGTTATTTAGATTGGTGGGATTGAATTAAGTGATTCTCGTCTCGGGTACATCTTTGTTGAAGAACTCATAGATCTTGGGGGGGAATGATAAAGGGAAAACACTTTGAAATTGAGTCATTATTGCTATTTGCAACTTTGTGGGTTATTTAGAAGGAAATGAATACAAGAACCTTTGAAGATTGAGTCAAGTGTTTGGAAGGTTTAGGGGACTATATTCATTTTTTGCCATCATTTTGACTAGATGGCAAACTTCATGGGATACATAGGCTGTTTTATGTATTTACTTATTTGGATAAGACTTTCCTTTATTGGTTGGATCTCTTATCCAACTATTTTGATGTACATTAATTTTTATTAATAAAACTTTTTGTTTCCTATCAACCGGGGGGAGGAAGAAAAATGAGAACAAGACACCATGCCTTGTTATGCCCAACTATTTCAACTAACTTGTACTGAAAAAAAAAACCCCAATGCGGGGCTCTTTTATAGTGTTTTTGTGCTACAAATTTACCTTTTGACTAGTTGTGTCAAAAGATGCAAAAATGTGTTTGCCCTTCCAATATCAGAAGTGGCTATCCCCTTCCACAAAATTTAACCAAATGTTGACCCATAACTACAACTCTTTCATTAGGAGAGATTTGTTCAACACCATTCTAATCTTTCCCCAACACCCCTTGCAAGTTGCTTCCTCATGCCACAATAATGATTGTTTACATTTTGATGCCTACATCATCAATACATCAAAACCGCAAATGGACCTAATTATGATGGAAGAGTTTAAAAAGCCTGTGAAATTAGCTAACTTCAAAGTAGAAAACAGCTTCAATTCAAGTAAGATGATAAATTGTAACTAATTTCTGCTATTGTCAACACTTGAGATGTTAACTTCAATACGCTTTAAATCAAATCATCTACATTCTCATCCAACTCAAATATTCCAAGAAAAATCTAAACCAATTTATGCACATCCCATAGTATAGTAGGCAGCAATTATAGAGGTGCAAATGAGCCAAGATGGTTCGAGTTAGAGATGTTTAAATTTCCGATTGGCCGCAATTTCCTACCCTACCCTACTGAACGGCTAGCCGCAAAAATCAGGTAGGAATGTGAAAGAGTTTTTGGTCTTCTGATTAAATCGGGTAGAAATGCAGAATACCCATCAATTTCGCATTCCTACCCTACCCTACCTGCATTAATTAATTAATTAATTAATTTATATATATATATATATATATATATAAACTAAAAAAACTCTAATTGCTAACCAACTTTATCATCTACTGACTAAGCGAGCGCCTCACTCCACTCCTCTCCTCTTACCTCCATCGGCTTTCATGGCTCAAGCCTCAACCTCCATAGCTCAGGTCTTCATCGTTCAGTCCCACCTCCCCAGGTGCTCTCTCTGTCTATCTCTCTGTGTCTCTGTTTGGGCGCAATCTGGTGGCCTTCATCTACAGATCTGATTTTTTTTTTTTTAAAGCATCAAGTTAATAAATCTCAAAACCCTAGCTTTCAAGCATCGTTCTGGCCTTCTCTGTTTTTTTTAAGCATCGTTCAGGCCTTCTCGATTGATGTTCATGTTTGCTTGTGTTTTATTATAATTATTGTTGTAATTGTTTAAATTTTAGTGTTATTGATTTATTGTATTGTTAAATTGGTGCATGTTATTTAATTGAATTGTTAAAATGATCCAAAAATTAATAGCTACAAAAGTGTTCACCCGACTTCCTACCAATTAATCAGGTAGGAATACTACACCTGATCGGGTAGAGTAAGCTAAGAAAAAATTCTTCCACAAAGTATCGGGTAGAAAAACGGAAGACTATATTTCCTACCCGTAGAGTAAGGTGAACACCCCTAGTTCGAGTCAATCATGACCATGCTCAGGCTTGGCTTGGTAGACAAAGAAAGGGGTCCAAGCTCAGCTTAAACTCAGATATAATTTTGTCCGTCAGGATAATACTAGGCTGCTTGCGTGAGATCAGCTACTTGAATCAGCCAGCATAATGCGTGGGTTGCATGACACAAGCTTTAGGCTGATCTAAAGATAGATCAGAAGAAGTCCAAGAAGACAATACCAAATCAAAAGTCAGGTAAAAAAGGTAGAAAGTATGTTGTGCATCCTGGTCATGGTCTCTAAGATTGCTCTAGAATCAGATGCCCATGAAACTCGAATGCATTCACAGCCTAACCTTTAAGAGTCCCAGAAAATCGGATGTCACTATAAAAACCAAGGCCTATCTATTCTAGCCTGATAAGCTAAGCATATGATTGATTAAAATGGGCTAGTTTACATAACAAGCCAAACTTTTGAGCTGAAGGTCAGCTCAGATGAGCAAACAAATGAGCTTTTGGCAAGCCAAGCTTTAGCAGAACCAAAAATCGCTTGTCTTGGATCCATAAAGGCATGAACCATCACCACAGCCAAGAGTATACCTCTAAATGTCAGTTCATGAACTCCGGAAATTGACACTCAAAAGGAACCATCAACACCCCTAAAATAAATCATTGATAGTTTTATTTAAGAATTTTATATAACCTTAAACAGATAGGATCATAGGACAACTTTGCCTATTTCAGAATTAACATACCACAGTTTTAGGCCAGCATATAATCAAACTGTGAAGAAACATCATAGGACATACCTCCTCCACAAGATCACCTGCGATTCCTCTAACAACTTCACAAAGATTATTTTCCGTGAATGAATCACTAATCCAGAAACTCATATCTTTGTAACAAGGAGGATACTGCAAATAGACAATAATTTCTAACTTTACAGAAAGTAGTCATAAAAGTTAACAAAGTCTTTAAAAAAAAGAAATGATAAATAAGGATAATTTTAAGTTCCAAGAGTGGAATAGCAACTTCATAACAAAGATTTCTTTGTGGTTATACTATTACTAAAACACCAGGATCCATTAACACAGATCCAACAATGATTCATTCCTCAAAGCATGATACCTAATCCTAAAATTGTTAATTACTATTAGTTACATATTATGAAAAAAATATATATGCTGTTCATACCTTTGAAAATGTTTTGAACTTCACACCAAGCTGACCTTTGGAAAACTGCGCGAAAACCAAAAAAGATAATGGATGAAAAATGTCCTATTATCAGATCACCAGAAGATTTTACAGTGTCAATATAAGGATTTCGAAGGCATTATTATTTGTACAAGGATTTTAATTATTAGTCATTTATAGAACGGCACAGCCGAGGAGGAGAGAGCAATATATAGCAATACTTAATTAATTATGGACTTTACTTGAGAAGTGAACCGTTCGTCATTGGACCAGAAAAGTCGTATATCTGGTATGTCAAACAGGACCATTGCTAACCGTTCCAATCCAAGTCCAAATGCCCAGGCAACATTGTCCATTTTTCCGCTTCTCTTTAATATTTCCTGCTCTGTCACCCCACAACCCAATACCTCCAACCATTTCTCCTGTCAAAGCAGTGGAAAACTAGTAAGTAGTTGTACAGAGTGCTATAAATTCATATGTTACCATTTGAAAGCGATAACCTAGTGCCATTGCAGTTAAGACCTAAAATTATCAACTTGGAGACATCAATTTTCTGGCACAGTTAATTCAATCAATGAACCCAAAAGTTAAACTCACTGAATAAGCATCAATCGGCAAAGTATAAATTAGTGCTTTTGAAAACCTGCAATAATGAGATTCCACTGGGAAGTGTTGATCATCACAGATTACGGGCAACTCAACAGTTATTGATACAAATTCAGCTACTTTAGATAACTCAACAGGAGACTACCATGTTATACTTAAGGGTAAATCAAGAAAGCTTAGGTAAAACTAGCAAGCATGCATAGACTATCCAAAGGAAGACTAGGACAATATAACAACACAGAGATTTAGAAACAAAATCATGCCGAAGCAAATCGAAGACAGGTTCATAATAAAAGAAAATCATCTTTGTGACCAACTAAACCTTGTAAAAAACACATATATCGGTTGGTAAGACTATTAAAGTCTCCATTTTTCTCTTGATGATCGGCCAACAAAAGGACCCCCTCACTAGGTCATAACTTCCTACAAAAAAATAGCAATAATAATCATGGACTATCTACAAAGCACATCTCCTACATTTCATTTTTACACAATGAATTGTATTCAGTCTCCTTTCAAGGGACAGAGCTTGTCTGTAGTTTGTACAAAATAAAACTGACGACATGCTTCCTTATGTGCTAATTTGCCTATAACAACCTACAGGCTCTTCCACCATGTCCACCAGTGACAAGCCAACAAGTTTCTATGATTGTAGGATCAGTGCTGGACTTTAACAGTTATGTCACTGCAGCAGCAATAGAGGAAAATAGAACCACCTGTGGTAACATTTCAGGAACAAAAGATGATTATGGCAACATTCAGAGATCCAAAGATTATTAAGGTTAGGCACTCCAGTTTCTTGTAAACCCATAAAAGGAAAGTTCATTGACACAAGTTTAGGGTAAGACGCCTGCCCTCAAAAGAAAGGAATGATAACTACTGTCACATCAATCATCAATACCACCAGAAGGCATAGGAAGACTAAAATTAACACTTCAAAGATGGTAGTGGCTGCTATAAATAATTCCAGGCCCATGGCTCTGATATCCAGCAGTAGCTTAAAGATCTCTTTGGTATATGTAACACCTTTTCAGTCACAGCTCAGATGTCCAGCACTATTTCAACTCTTCGGTATTTGTAACACCTTTTCAGGCATATCAAATTGCCCAAGGATCTCAAGATAGAAGACCAAGATGTTTTATGCCATTATTGATGAAGCCCTCCAGAGTCCCCAGACTTCATATTTTCCAAGTCACTTTCTTCATTGCCAGTAATGCTTTGAACATTACGAAAACTGCAAATCAGTCCAAATCAAGACAGACCAAATTACATGGAACACTATGTAGGCTTGAGCAGCCTTTCTTTAAACCTAGGATAAGGCGAGGGCTGAAGAAATTTAACCTGCCCTCAATTTCCTTTTGGAGTCTGTCTAGACCTTAGCGTGGTAGTAAGGTTGCTCCATTGTGACCCAGTTGTCACGGTTTGAGTCATAGAAGTAGTCTCTTGATTTGTGGGGATAAACCTGCACGCATCTGCCCTCCTTAGAGCCCAAAGTGGTAGACGTCACGGATACAGATCCCAAAATGAGGTGTGTATATGTCATTTTTTTGGTATCATGAACAACTATATGTGGTGGTATTGATAACTTGAATCTAGTAGTTACCTGAGTCCTAGGGCCAAGGATCAAAATTTCATTTTGGTGTATTGTTTCGGTCACCTAAAAAAGGGAAACGTTTCGAACCATTTCGAAAACATAATGAAAAAAATAAAAAATTTAACAATTATTTTTCTAAAACATTGATTGAAATATATCAAAGTATATTGAAATACCTTAAAACATTCCGAAATAATTGTTCATATGTATTGAAATATTATAATACATCTCAAAACATTATGGAATACCTCGAAAAATTAAAATTTTGATTCCACCACTGTTTCGTTTCGGTCAAAAACGGAAACGTTTCGAACGTTTCAAGCGTTTCGAAACGATATTTTGATCCTTGCCTAGGGTACATTCTCTAATGACTATTTAAAGCATACACTTCAATAAGGTTCTCAAAGAAAATGGCCATTTATTTAAAAAATAAAAGGTAATTTGATTGCAGTAATTGGAAACTTCCAACACAACCCACAAAGCGACTTCAAATTACCTCAAAAACAAATAAAACAGCGATGATGACAATGAAGTCTACGTTTAGTTAAAAGAATATTTACTACAACAAAAAATCTGAGATGATGCAAGCACCAATAATAAAGATTTTCTAGTAATCACACAAAAGCAGATTATAAATATGTTTGGTTCCAAACTATAAATGTTTTTTAATTAGCAAGCATATGATCATTAGTTAAGATTGTGGGGACAAACATCTGTTTGAGTTTAGTTGAGTATGATCATTAGTTAATAATGGCTTGCAATTTAACATAAAACTACCAACTCATCTAAAAGCTTCCGCGGTAAAGAGTATGTAACGTAACCATTTATATTTTCAACACTCCTCCGGGCCTCCTCATATGCGGGCTACATTTTACACAAAGCATGTGCAAGTCTCATAATCATAGGGGTGGCAGCAACATTTAAACTCAAGATCCCCTGTTTTGATACCATGTTAAACCACCAACTTAATTAAAAGCTTTAACTTATTAGAGAGAATATAACATAAATATTTAGATACATCAACAGTAATAGGTATGGTGTTGGCATTGAGAAACATCATCCATAGGAAAACCAATATACAAAATCAAGAAAAAAAAGAATATACCTGAAAATATATCTCAAGTTCAAATGATGGATTGGTAAATGGAAAATAAGTGTTAATCCAGCGCATTTCAACAGCACCTGAAAATTTTCAATGGAGTGTAGGCTGAAGAGGATTCTATAAACAATCATGTTTTATAGCAGAAATACATGCCAAGGTAACAACAACCAAAATGATTAAATTTCAAAACTCACAAACCAATAATTGTATATCACTCATTCATCTATCTCCTATCTCCCAAACATTCAGTTAATCATATTCTGAAACATTTGGTATAACACAGAATGAACGGTTTCATGTGCCACTTTATTCACAATGAAATTAACTCTTAAAATTTAAATTCACAAACTTAAATTCATTATCTATTAGACTCTAAATTACTATACAAACCAAAGAATCAATAACTTGTAGAATTCAAATACTCAGCCCAAGCTTCAACACTAACTGTACCAAATAAGTGGCGTGCCAAACCCTCAAGACAATTCTTTAAATCCACAGCCGCATAAGTTGTGGCATCCATGCCAGATGCCTTCCAATCATTGAGAGTAAAAACTCGAACCCCTTCCATCTGCACAGTAAGGATATAAAATCATTGTATACAAAAAAACCCTCCTTAGAAGCGAAGACAATTCCTTCGTCAATCACAAATGTTCCTAATGAAATGTTAGTTGGTATGAGTCAATCGTTCTATTTTTCATATATAGAGTGAAGAAGGTAGTAAGCAGGAAATTTGGGTAGCTATAGGTTGAGATATTGAACCTGATGAAAGACAGGGTAATGAGTTGAGTCAATAGAATCTCTACGATAAACATCTCCAGTAACAAGGAAATGTGTGTACCCCTTTCTCAATAACTCAGCCTGATGTGCACTTGTATGGCATCTTAAGACAGTTTGAGAGTCCACATAATAAGTATCATTATAACTCCTACTCACATGATCAGCAGGTACCAAGACATCATCAAAGTTCTGCACAACGCAAAATATGCCTAACATCATACACAAGCTTGACAAGAATCCAAAGTTACCGGTGCATTACACCCAAGGATCAAAATATCATTTTGAAATGGTCGAAAAATTCAAAACGTTTCTATTTTCAAGGAGACCAAAACGAAATAGTGATGGAATTGAAATTCTAATATTTCAAGATATTCCATAATATTTCGAGATGTATTATAATATTTCAAAGCATTTGCACAATTATTTGGGAATGTTTCAAGGTATTTCAATATATTTTGATATATTTCAATCAATGTTTTAAAAAAATAATTCTTAAATTTTTTATTTTTTCATTATGTTTCCGAAACGGGTCAAAACGTTAGCGAAACACGTCAAAACGTTTCCATTTCTTAGGTGACCAAAATAATATACTAAAACGAAATTTTGATCCTTGATTACACCACACAAATACATCGGATAATTTACAAATCAAAATAAACACAAGCAAAAGTCATATAAAGCATCACCCCAAAAAAAGACTAGCGTACAAACCAAAGCAGAGTTGGGCTAATCTGAAGGAATTAATCCACACTCGAGTATAGTATGGTAACATAATTATCAATTTTGAATAAGAAGTCATTTCAATCTCTTTGTTGGAAAGGAAAAACCTAACCTACAAACACATTTTCCTCCCTCATTTTATAATCAACCTCCTAAAGAACTACTCTAGGTAACAAACGTTATTTTGTTTTTTTCTTAAAAAACCAAGAGACAAACACTTGATTTCCTTTAAAGACGGATGAATTTATAGTCACGAGTTTTTCATTAATTGACAAGAGGATAATTTATCATGTAAGTACTATAAGGTAAGAAAATGGTATCAAACATATGTACTGAAAATAAATTAAGTTCAAGAAAAGTAGTTGAAAATCCAAGATCTAAGTAATGGAAATTTTTTTTTTTATTTTTTTTTATCAGACTAAGAATGGAATTTAAAAGGAGAGAAAATGGAAATCAAGAATAAAATGCTAAAAGATACAACATGGAATCTAGAATGTTAAACTTGTGCAACATGATGGTAATATGTATTACCAGAATATCCACACAAGCTCCTGAAAATTCAAAGGGCTCGTTTAGTTGCCGTATAATAAAAGAAAGGATTGTATTAGTTAATACGGGTTAATTTTGTACAAGCGGATAAAACACAAGATTAAATATAGGATAAAGTTAATACTCTTTGTAATCTAGTGTTTGGTAAGACACTAGATAAGGGTGGGATAATAGAATCTTAATTACATAGTGACCAAAATATCATCAATCTTGTCTAGTAATTAATGTTTTTGTTTGTTTGGTGAGTAAAATAGTAAATTTATAACTTAATACGTTTGAGCTAGACTATAATACCACCTCCACAGGTGGTATTATAATCTACTCAATAGTACGGATAGAGTGTATTATTTAGATAAGCATTTGAAATAAGGCTATATATAATACAAAATATTTTTTGCAACCAAATGAAGTATAAAGTTGGATTAGAGAGTTTGAATTTGTTATGACTCCTTAATATTGCAACCAAACAACCCCAAAAGAGTGCTGATCATTAGCTAAAGAAACTTGATGGTGCAATAATGAGATCCAAACTATAATAGAAGCAAAAAGGTATGTCATAAAACTTGGCAGTTCATACACTTAGATGGGCTTCTTTTGTACTTACTCGTTCGTAGAGTTTAAATCACAAAAATTCCTATTTAATGCCCCGTTTACTGCCGTTTAACTAGCTTATAGCTCAGAGAAACAATTGGTGTCCACTGCATATCCAATACTATTCCCTAGACTTTGTCCAATACCAAGTACCACCACCAAAATTAACATGAAAGAAACTTGACAGCAAGAAAAAATATGAAACATGACATTAACAAATTGAAAAACAAACACATAACAGGGCTCTACAAGATCACAAGCAAACAAACTTGAGAGAAACAAGAAGTGGTTCAACAAAAATTCTGTGATGGATTCACAGTCATACCTCTGTAACAGAAACAAGTGGGCAAAGTTCATCGAACTTGTCAAATTTGTTGGGATAATTGGTGTCGAAGTAATCATAGATGGCATTCTTTAGGATTCCAATTGGATGCTGGTCCCTCCTATGAAGTTGCATTCCAAGTTTTGAAAATATCGTATCCGGAACATTGTTTGTTGGATCATCCCTCACAACATCTAGAAACCCAATTACAAAATACATCAAACCAAAAGATAAGTATGTACTGGTAAATGAATTCCTACCCCCAACTAGTCTAATAGATCAAACAAATTTCTGAAGTTGAATAACAGTTCCAAAAATTCACATTCAGCACAATATATGTCAAACCTATCCTTCAAGCCCTGGTAACCAAACATATCAATTTAGATGGTCGAAAAACCCTGAGTGAGGGTGGGGGGGAGGGGAAATATGTGACCTCTAATTGCACCAAACAGTTGGGGAAGATACAAATTTCAAGTGAACAATACAGTTATGATGCAACACACTAAGATAATCCCAGAAAAATCAAAAACTTAAACAACATAACAGGCAAAATGCAAAAATAGTGAAGCACTCCCGATTCTGGAAAATTTTAAAAAGCTTTGTGTTGAACCATCCCTCCGCAGATCAAATTATATCATTCCAGTAACCAAATTCAAAGATCCCAGTCAACCAAGTCCACGTTCACAGAAATGAGCAGCACATTGTAACATAGAATTGGATACCGTATGGAAAACAACCAGAACCAGTACCGAAATTCCAGTTGAATCAAATTCTTGGAAAGTATAATAACCGAAATGCAAAGCCCTGAAGAAACAGCCCAAGTTCTAAACAGCTTGCTTACAACACTCCATTTGTTGAGCAATACCTAATTATCTTACCATTAAAGTATATAAATCAGATTTTGACCATTTGAAAATTTCAGTCAAGCAGTTCCACTTTCATCGAATAAGCAGATAAAAAACTAAACAAAACGCATATATTTAGCCAACCCAGAAGGCAAAAATGCAAACTTTCTGCAACACATCCAATTGCACAAACGACCCAGAACCACAACACCATCAAATTCCAAAAATTAGACTGGATCATGTAGAAAACCCAAACAAAGACAATACTACGAACCACATTCCCCCATACCCCAGAACAGTATATAACAAAGAAACATAAAAAAGCAAGTTTCTCAATCTCAACATATCTAAGTGATAAAATTCATAAAAGTGCAATTTCACGAAGTGGTTATGTCACCGTCTTTAGCAATCTTGACTCCACCAAGGTCGAGAACTGAAACCAGTGGTTTCCACGTCTGGCGGTGAGTCTTGTCCGTGGAAAGAGCAGAAGAAGAAGTGGAGAAATACGAGAATGGTATTGAAAACCGAAAGCCTCTGAAGCTATTTCTGTGGAGAACAAGAGAGGTTTTTGAAAAGAGAGTGGATTGAGCAAATGAAATAGCCATGGCTGTGCTCAGTCCCACGGACAGGCAGAGTGGTTCAGCAGAAGCCTTGGATAAGCTATTTATTTCTAGTCTCTTAACAGTGGAGCCGTCAAACCCGAAAACCGGACCTAACTATCGACTCGGTTTGGTTTGGTTCGGTCCTTTAGAAACCCGGTTCATTACTGTGTTTGGAGGACTGAGAGCCCCTCTCGTACTAGATTTTAGCGAAAATTGAAATTAAGTACACTTTCAATCTGTTTTGGCAATAAAGAAAAATTCAAATCTTTTAGATCAGACATATAATTGCAACATATGAGGAATGTAATCCATACTTATCAATTTATATATTTTTAATAACAAGAATACAATCATTTTTTATTAATTCATTTGTATCTATCTTTCGTTCATTTTTCTATCTCTCTTGTCTCATTGTTTCTCTCTCCTCTCTTCATTTAATTATTCTCTCCTCTCTCTTCATTTAATTATTCTCTCTCCTCTTTCTCTTGCATCCTATTCTTTCTCTCTCATCTCTCTTCTTACCTCTTATTCTTTCTTTCTCCTATCTCTTCCTTGAATTTCTCTATCGCCTCTCTTCCATCATTATCTTTCTATATTTTTTTAAAATTTCTCTCTCTCCTCTTTCCTTCATTTCACTCATTCTCTCTTCCATCCCTAACTTTTGCTTCCTACATGACATATTTTTAGATTACGGGTGTGCCAAAGTTCGAACGGACTTAATATCCAAACATATACAACCTTACTTACTCAAACCAATGTGAAATTATAAAATCATGACTATTCAAGCAATTGCATCGAGGCGTAAGGCTACCTTTAAGATCTTTTCTATGACTTATGGTTTAAGGACTTTAAATAATTTTTGAAATAAAAGTATAATGGACTACATCATAAAGAGAACTACGAGAATGAAAAGCAAGAAGTAAACTGAATCTGAATTTGGAAGAAGAAATGAATATTGTAGTTAACATTAAAGGAAAGTAGTAAAAGATCGCTAGAGTGATGATTACAAGAAAAGTAAAATTGCTTGGGAACAAGAAATAAGTAAAAGGTAGGTTGGCTTTGTGTAGAGTTTGTGTGTTTGATCATGGATCCATTCTCTATAGCCTAGTCTCTGTTATTTATAAAGATGATCTTCAACTGTTGACTCATCTTTTCCAGCTATTATTGTAATCATGGCCCTGCCTCTTTGAGATGCATGGACGTGTATTGAACCGACTTCAACTAGTGGCTTATAATGTCACGTTTTCTTGTTTCCTAGGCCTATAAGAGTCCTATTTCTCTAACTGTTATGTCAATCGTGGACTCTTACAGACTTCTTTATAACTACCGAATTTCTTCCACGTGTCACCCTTTAATCTTGTTATTTTTGGGTGTAAACATTGTCTCGCCCCCCCCCCCCACCCAAAACGATGCGACTAAATACTCCTGTCATTTTGGCTCTTTGAATTTAAAATTGTGTTGCTATACCTGCTCTACTTAGCTGTCATACTACCATTGGTCGTGAAGTTCAAGAATTACAGCTAAAGTTTCACGTGTAGTTTTTTAATCTATCTTTCATCTTTTTAGATCTATAAGAAATGATTAGCACGCGATCCATCCATATCTTTTAATCATTGTTTGGGGTCATTCTCTATGACTATATAATTCGTCCCCGGACCTACTGCTTTGTAATTATTCTGACCTTCTCTTCTTCTTCTTCAATTGAGCCTCCTCATATTGTTACTCTTGAAGTGGCTCTTTCGTGAGTGCATTCCACTCTATTCACTCTTTACACTTTTAACTCGCTCTCTAATTCTTCTTCACTAGAGATGCCCCTTGGGCCAACGTTTAAAGAAATGCCTCCACATGAGGTTCGACATATTTATCTTGAATCTCATGTCTTTGCCTTTCAACTTCCATGAGCCTCTCCAATAGACAAACTTGCTCAGTGGTACCCCTGTTCGTGCATGGAAGGCCACCTCCCTTGATTGGATATCATGGAGTTACTTGTGTTAAGGCAATCAAGGGTACTCTATGGCATCACTTTGGCATTTATGATGTCATAAAATTAGCATTATCAAGATGTCTATTGACAAGAGCTATTAGCTGCTTAGCGTCATTCTCCTATTTTGGTCTGTAGCGAATAATGCCTTTCATTTTCGTTTTGGCATAGTGGGGCCCATGGTATATGATATGTCTACTCTTCTCAGCCTTCCTCCGTTCAAGGCCAAGGCTAACCGTCTACTTAAACATACTAAAGCGAGGTATTTTTTTTTCTGCTTGATGTGCAGAACAAGCCAATCATTGCCTATTATCTTTTTAGCACGCCCTGTTGTAATCGTGATGGCTCTCTAGTGTCGAATCAAGAACACACTTCGTTCTTGCTTTGTTGGCTTAACCAATTCTTTTTCTACATTCCTTTCACAAAGTGACTGGGGAGTATATTCCATTGGTTGTCTATCTGGCGCACAGGAGTTTTCCATGCTCTTGCTCCTGTCATGCTCGCTCACCTCTATCACAGGATGTGGGAGATAGTGGCATCAAAGATGCAGAAGGGTTTGGGTCCCCTCTAGGTGCTTCAGCTGTGGCTTTGTGCTTATTTCCCCGAGCTTTCCATCCTGCTTGCTGATAACGCCTCTTTTTCTTATGGTTGCCTATTTGCCACGACCCTTTATAGAGAATAGTCATTTGCTAACTGTTTTTCTTATTTATATAACTTGAATGGCTCACGGGCCATTTGGATGCCATTTTCCCATAATTGGGGGTCCAGAATGGTTCCTGTATAGGCCTAGGGAAGCCCTTATTGATAATGCTACTTCTTACGAGAATGCCTAGTTTTCCTATCTCCACCCCTAAGACTTGCATTATGACCTAGGGCTGACTCATGACATCAATGCTCACTACGACATTAAGGTTTATATACCTCAATAGTTCGCACTGCCAATTCGGCATAGTGTAACAAATTTCTTATCCTTTTGGCCGCATTCTCTATATTGACTACATCAATCGGCCTAATGTGACTGATATAAATGTTCGAGAAGTCAGTCATCGCTACCCTATTGTTCGTTGCTCCTTTCGAATAATTTTTTTCACCGAGTCATTCGATATTTTGAAGATTGCAAAGTCTTGGTGGAAATGATACATTTCTTGGTAAGTTGATCATGACATGATCACTGTTTTTAACCACGTGAAATTTTCATTACAAAATTAGTCATCCCCTAAGACTGGTCTAGTCAGGACTTTCCCTTCTACTATTGTTCCCCCATGGGAAGTTGATCTTGATCTCCCGACCTCTACAGACCAAGTTTCCTCAACTATTTCTACTTCTCCAACACGACCTCACTGCAAGGATAAACGACGGCGTTCTCTCGTAACTCCCTCCACATCTATCTGCCATGTTGATAAGGAAATATGATGTTCTCCTTGTACACCATATTCGTCATCAAGATAGCACACCTTCATCCACATCTGTCAACATAGAGCCCTCTCAAGATGCGATCTTCAGAAATCTTCAGCCCCCTAGTCCCCATTTTTATGGCCTCTTCTATGGTCGTAGTTGGTTTAGTTCCATCGGTGCCTTATTTCAACAACATGGCCACTGATGTGGCCAATAATGTTGAAGTTATGGACCTTGAAAATGAAGAAGGTCTAGCCCTAAGCAAGCATCTATTGAATCCCTAGTAAGCCATGGTACTCCTCCAGCCACTGAGACTATAGAGGTTGTGGCCCCAACTTAGGTTGCTCCTCCATCCTTGGTTGTTCTTCCTTCACATGAAGTCGACTTATCTTCCATCCTAGCCTTTGTAAAGGCTCGCCTTTCTTATGGTCCACTTTCTTTCAGCAATCAAGGTTATTTCTGGATTACAAATTCGAAAACCATTGCGAGACAACAATAACGGTCCTTGCTGGCTGCCTCCCTATTTTGCTGGACGAGGTAAACCTTCTTGAGGAGCGACTTCGCTCGATCAGGGCACTCATCATTTCTCCTTTCCTTATTGAAAAAGACCATCAAGCATTGGTTCGCCTAGCTGATGAACTTTTGGCCATTCTTCAGGAAGCAGGGCTACTATATTAGAAGCATCAAGATTGTCTCACCGTTATCCATGATCAATAAGAGCAGCTAGTCAAATTGAACCGACAAATCCAAACTTGTTCCAACCGTTCGAGCCCCTCTAACTCACTTCCTTAGAGGCTGGCCAAGATAGATTGCCAAATCACTAAGCTAAAGGCTCAGCGTGCAGTGCCCCTGGAGGAATTCGTGTCCTATTAAGAGCATTTAGAAGAACTTAAGATAGTTGTGGTGGATGCCGCGACCTTTGCGGATGTAGGCTCGGACCCAACCGAGTCAGCTTCGGTAGAATTACAAGTCTTAAATAGGTCAATGTACCAATTATAAGTTTATTTTTCCAATCTTGTATAGTTCCAAGAGAAATGATAAATTAAAAATATATATGGAATTTTTTGCCTCTTATTTCTTTACTTACATCTACCTTTTTTATTTTCATTGTGATGGTTGACATAACTACAAATTAAATGGCATTAATTGTCACTTACATCAAGTTTTTGTCGTTTGATCCGCATGCATGTATTCAAGCACTTTGACTGCCATTCAGAGTAACACTTCATTCTCCTGTCATTAAACTGCCATAAATGTTGGTTGTTTTTTAGGTGTGGCCATTAAAGCATTTAACTTTCTTATGTCTTATAAATACCAATGAAGCACTTAGGCATTTTGGAGCAAACCAAACTCTTAAAGGATGTCTTTTTCCTTGTGCAACACTTTTGTTTCCTCTAAACCTCTTGACCTAAAGAGAGAAAATTGGAAGATGACTTTGTTAGTCCCTAACCTTTTTCCTCCTTCGGTCTTAACCAAAACCTTTCCTCTGTGTTTTCCCCTTCATGTCCGCAATTGGATTTATCAACATATTTCATGTTCTTCTTTTTGATGAATATCTCTTTTTGCCTATATCCTTGGGTCATTTTGTAGATCCTTCTATTGGGGGTAAGACAGCATGGGTTGACAA